CCTGCTTCTATTGTTATATTTGAAGTGAGTTTCTGTGGACAGTATATAGTTGGGTCATATTTTTAAATCCATTCCACCAGTCTTTTAATTGGTATATTTAGACCATTTACATTTAAAGTTAATTGCTAAGTTAGGGTTTAAGTCTGCCATTTTATTTTTTTGTTTTCTGTTTCTCCATCTTTTTTTTTCCCCCCCTTTGCTTCTGCCTGCCCATGGGTTACTTAAACATATTTTAGATTCCATTTTGATTCTTCTGTAGTGTTTTTAGTATGCCTATTTGTATAGATGTTTCATGAATTCCTTTGGGTATTACACTGTATATGTATAACTTATCACAGTCTAGTGGGTGCTGTTTTACCAGTTCAAGGGAAATATCAAACCTTAACTCTCTTTACATCCTTTTATTCACTGCCATTGATAACAGTTCAAAATACTTTCTCTATAAATTTAGAATTACATTAGTTTTATTATTATTATTATTTGAGACAGAGTCTCTTGTTGCCCAGGCTAGAGTGCAGTGGCACTATCTCGGCTCACTGCAACCTCTGCCTCCTGGGTTCAAGCAATTCTTCTGCCTCAGCCTCCTGAGTACTTGGGATTATAGGCATGTGCTGCCATGCCCAGCTAATTTTTGTATTTTTAGTAGAGACAGGGTTTCACCATGTTGGTCAGGCTGATACTGAACTCCTGACGTTGTGATCCACCCACCTCAGCCTTCCAAGGTGCTGGGATTACAGGTGTGAGCTGCTGTGCCCGGTTGAAATTTTTTTTAACTGTCAAACATGATTTAGAAAACTTAAGAGAAGGAAATCCCATATTTGCCCATATTTTTTTGTTTGCTATATTGTTTTCTTCTTTCGTAATGTTCCAAAGTCCTCCTTTTATCATTTCCCTTGTATTTAGATAACATTTTTTAATGGTTCCCTTTGGGTAGATCTGTTGGCAACAGATTCTCTTGGTTTTTTTTTGTCATCTGAGATTATCTTTATTTCTCCTTAATTCCTGAAGATTATTTTCACTGGATATAAGATTCTGGGTTTGACAGTTCTTTCAACACTTGAAAAATACTTTGTCACTTCCTTCTGGAATGGTTTATGATGAGAAATCTGTTGTCATTCAATTTTTTTTTTCTCCTGCAGGTAAGGTGTCATTTTTCTCTGGCTGCTTTCAATATGTTTTTTCTTTGTCTTTAGTTTTCAGAAGTTTAATTATGATGTGTCTTGCTGTGGATTCCTTTGGGTTTTTCCTGTTTAGGGGTTCATTCTGCTTCTTGAATCTGTAGGTTTATATTTATTGCCATATTTTGAGAATCTTCAGCCATTATTTCTTTGAGTACTTTTTCAGCCCTGTCCTTCCGTGTCCTCAGCTTCCAAGGCTCTGATGACATGAATGTTACATCTTTTGTTATAGTCCCACAAGTCCCAGAGACTGTTCTTTTTCTTGTTGTTGGTCTCCCTCCCTCCATTCCTCCCTCCATTCCTCCCGTCCGTCCGTCCGTCCGTCCATCCGTCTCAGGCTGGAGTACAGTGGTACAATCTTGGCTCACTGCAGCTTAACTTCCCAGACTCAAGCAATACTCTCACCGCAGGCTCCTGAGTAGCTGGAAACACAGGCATATGCCACTATGCCTGGCAAATTTTGTTTGTTCGTAGAGACAAGGTTTTGCCATGTTAACAAGGCTGGTCTCAAACTCCTGGCTTCAAGTGATTCTCCTGCTTCAGCCTCCCAAAGTGCTGGGATTACAGGCATGAGCCACCCTGCCCAGCATTCATTTATTTTATTTTTCAGTTCTAATAGTTCCATTTGGTTTTAAATGTTTTATGTTTTATTTGCCTGAACTTTCTTTTTCTTTGCTCAGTTCTCCTGTTTTTTTTTTTTTTATTTTTCAAGCATATTTATAATTTCTCTGAAACATTTTTGTCATGATCCCTTTGTCTTGGTTGGATAATTCTGTTTCTGTCATCTCAGGGTTGGAAGCTATTGTTTATCTTTTTGTGTTTGATATCTTCCTGGTTCTTGGTGTGGTGAGCTATTTTCATTTGAAACTGGACTTATATTATGAGACTCTAGATTTCATTTAAACTCTTTAATTTGGTCTTCTTTCCCTAGCACTGCTGTAGCAAGGCAACCAGGGCATTGTCTCCTTACAGCCAGTGGAGGTAGAAGTTCAGGTTCCACTTAGTTTTTATTGACACCTGGGAGTAGGGACTCCTTACTACTGCTGGTGGAGGTGATAGTTTTGGCTCTTCATGTGGTCTCCACAGACACCGCATTGGTGTGTCCTCATTACTGCAGGGAGATGGTTAAAGTCTTGACTGTACTTGACTCCTCTGACACCACCTCAGAGGGAGGAGGGGAAGCTCCATATCACCTCCTTTCTTTCTCTTGCAGCAGAAGTCTAGGCTCTCCATTTGCTCATTGCTGGCATGAGTAGAGATGGGACCACATTTTTTTCTTTAGTGTTAAGCTCGAGTAGAGTAATTCTTACCTAAAAACTTTTGTCTTTTTAGGTAGCCCTTCCCTGGTCCTTTGGCTTTTGTTAGGATTATTTTGGGTCTGCACCCATCAGTGTTTCCATGTTACTGGCTTCTTAGCTTCATGCTTGGGATAGCTGAGGCAAAAAGTAAACCCAGGGAGCTCATCCTGTGCCGTTTGTGAGGTCCTTCAGTCTCTGGCTATTCTACCATCTCTCCACGTTTCTGAGTTGTCTGTTTGTTTTACGTATAATAATGCAGTGCTGTTAGTTGTACCTAGTGGGAAGAATAGGGAAAAGTGTTTTTATTCCATCTACCCTGAAGTAACCTCTCATTTACTTGTTCCTTTCTCAGGACTCAGTGTAATGTTTTAATTCCAGCATTTTATTGTTAACTTTATTCATGGATATTATTTTCTTTGGCAGGTAGTGAAGAACAGATTAATTTCCATTTAAAAGAATTCCTCAAAGCAAGCAGATGTAGGTGACATCCACCATTGGGTTTCAGATACATTTATTAGAGTCATAAATGGGTCTTCGTATTTGGGGATGCTTTTTAGTTTACAAAGCAAGATCTTTAAGAGGGGGATCACATAGTTAGAAGCAGTCACTTCTTAATATTTTTTGCACTGGCAAGTAGTAAAAAGACAGTGTCACTATAGGTCTGGTTAGAATGGGCTGTTTACCTGATACTGAGAAGTTTTCAGTTGACTTCATTTTCTCAAGATATGTTTCACAAAGGGTCCTGATAGATTTCAGGTTATAACTGGCTATCTCACAGGATTATGACTCAGTGAAAACATGAAAAGGCTTTGGTGGGTATAAAGCACCACACATGTAAGAGAATGGTACTCTTGTAATTGTCTTCCTGCAAAGACCTACTTTGAACTTAGAGCAGCACATTTTTACTTTCTGTAATTCTTAGAATCCTAGAATCTTAAAACTGAAAGTGATCTTAAAGGTAAATGAGTGCCAGGCATGGTGGCTCACGCCTGTAATCCCAGCACTTTGGGAGACCAAGGTGGGTAGATCATGAGGTCAGGAGATTGAGACCACCTGACCATGGTGAAACCCCGTTTCTACGAAACATACAAAAAATTAGCTGGGCATGGTGGCGTGTGCCTGTAGTCCCAGTTACTCAGGAGGCTGAAGCAGGAGAATCAATTGAACCCGGGAGGCGGAGGTTACAGTGAGCCAAGATTGTGACACTGCACTCCAGCCTTGGCGACAGAGCAAGACTGTCTCAAAAAAAAAAGGTAAATGAACTTTGCCATTTTTCCCATCCATGCAACTCAGCTTCTTTGAAGGATACTCCACTAGCTTACAGCACAGGGTGTCTCAAATCGTTAGCAATGTTTGCCAATCTCTTCTGTTCTGCCTTGGCCTTTCCTGTTAGATCTTAGCTCTCTGTTCTGCTTTTTGAGTCTAGTCTTTTATGAGAGAATAGGAAAAAACCACTTCTCTGGGTTGTGGTCATTCTTTTTCTTTTTTTGAGGAGGGGTTGTGGTCATTCTTATCTGCCATATCCTTTCATTTTTCTTCATTTTGTATGGTTAAGATCTTTGACCATTTTACCTGCTTTCTTCAATCTGCAGAATTTGAGTTTCTTAAAGTGGTGCTGTGGCATCCAGAATAATACACAACGCTTGTGTAGGACGGATAGGCACTTTGCTCCATGAAACCCTGCACTGCACTGTTGTTATTTGTAGTGTTTTTTCTCATGTACATAGAAACCCTTCTGAGAGGATTTGAGAGTCTTGTAGGTATATGTAAATCATTGTATTTGCTCTGATTTTGGCACAAAACAGTTACTGAATTTACAGGTGGCCCTGGGATATTTTCCCCCCTCCTTAGCAAGTTAATTCTTAAGTCTGTCCTATTTTGTTGCTTTATTCAGTATGACTGTAGAAAATCTAAGTGCAAGTGTACATTTGTCATTAGGATGTTTTCTTGTTGGCATTGTAGAGTTTTTTGATTTTTCTGACACATTACGCTGGCTTTCATCCTTCCCTTCACTGTTTCCTCTTCCCGACCACTCCCCCAGTCATCTGCCTGCCCCGTTTGTGTTTTATTCATTCCTGTTTGTTATAACAATCTGTGTTATTGAAAGTGTTGGTGAGGCAGGGTCAGATACAGAGCATTTCTGATTGACATCAGCTCATTAATAATCATGTTTTGACTTTGTGTATAGAACATGGTATGAATCATTTTTACTTTTACATAAAAAACTGGGAAAAAAAGATATTTTCTATATGTTTGACATTTTACTAGTAACTATAACATTGTTATAAATAATCTGATAATATTGATACCTTTTTTTTTTTTTTTTTTTTTTTAAGATAGGGTTTCACCATGTTGGCCAGGCTGGTCTTGAACTGCTGACCTCAGGTGATCCACCCACCTCGGCCTCCTAAAGTGCTAGGATTACAGGCGTGAGCCACCACTCCCAGCAATATTGGTACATTTTAAAATTTTGAAACATATTTAGTACCTAGTTTCATTTTACCTATTTTAAAAATATTTCCAGGAAATCCCCTTACCCAGGATATATTGAACCTTTATCAGGAACCAGATGGAACAAGACGGCTGCTGAACTATTTGCTTGATAATTTGTCAGGTACTGCAAAAAGAAGTAAGTGGTTATTTGTTTAAACCTTTTTATTAGGAAAATGTGTAAGAATATTGCTTAACTCTTTATTTTCTGTTCAACTAGTTTCAACAGAACAACCACCTCCAAGGTCTTGGATTATGTTACAAGAACCAGATAGAACAAGGCCAACTGGTTGGTAGTCTTTTATTTTTTAACTGTTATTTTTGTTCACTTTCTGTAAGCCTAACAGTATTGTCAGCATGCTTAGATAACAGGTAGCATTAAGATAGAATGCTTAAGGTTGATTTAGTTTGGGAGGTAATAAAAAAAAAAGAAATTTTTGCTCACATGACCTCTATATATACTATGTTGTGTTATATAGAAAGTGTGCTATAAAGCAGTGCTTATCAAATGGACAGTTTATCCCCCAGGGGACATTTGGCAATGTCTGGAGACTATTTTGATGGTCATAACCGGGGAGAAGTGCTGCTGACTGCTAGTGGCTGGAGACCAGGGATGCTGCTCAACATCCTATATAGTACCTGGCACAGGACCCCACAACAGACTTCATCTAAAATGTCAGTGGTGCCTCTCTTGTTGAAAAACCCTTCTATAATTTATTGATGAAATTCACTTAAAATGAATACACTCAAATCTTTCTCTGTTAGAAGTTTCCAAATCCTAGCATGTTCCAAATGGATTTGACACTACTGAGTTATAAGAGGGCTAAAACCCTTACTTAAGAGGAAAATTGAACTAATGATCTCTAATCTCCTTTTAACCTAAATTCTACGAAAATAGTTTGGGAACTGTCATGGCGTGTGTAACAAAATTTAATCTATGATACCATTTTTATTTTACATAAAATAATAGTTGTCCTGTAGGAGAAAATGAGACATGCCTATTAAGGAAACCGGCTTTCCTACATTAACAGTTGGTGGCATGGTAGAAGGAGTCGAGAAATGAGGAATGTTAGGTTCAGAGACTGAAGGGCTCACGAGCTTAGACTTTTCACTTCCAAATCTTCTGTGCCTACCTCTGTAGCAGGTGTAGTACATTGTATTCTAACTTGTTCACTTATCTGTCCTGCTTGCATTATCCATGTTTATTTATCCCCTATGTGTGGCATATAGTAGCTTTTCAGTGGCTGTAGATTGAATGAATACAGTCAAACTTAACATTTAAGTGAAAACCATTATTGAAATTCTATATTTTCTTCTGCCACGTGTGTGAATAAGTAAAGTTATCTTTCCTACAGCCTTGTTTTCTGTCATGTGCTATAATGTTCTTTGTGATAAATATGCGACCCGGCAGTTATATGGCTACTGTCCATCATGGGCACTAAACTGGGACTACAGGAAAAAGGCCATTATTCAAGAAATCTTGAGCTGCAATGCTGATATCGTAAGTCTTCAGGTAAGTCAGACAGAAGAGAGTTGACCTAACATTGATAAAGCAAGGAGCAAACTAGTAATACATTACACAGATACATTTGAAGTTTCAGCTGTGGTAGTTCTTAAAGCACTGTTTTGTTTTGTTTTGTTTTTTATGTTATTAATGAATCGTGGGAGGACTGTCTGCTTTGCTTTGCAGTACTGTGTTGCAAAATAAGCAAATGAGTTAAGTTGGGTTTTATACATTTGCTATGACTGCTAAATACTCACCTCCCTCCTCCCTCCAATGTCCCTGCACACTATTTTTGAAATGGGTGGCAAAGTTACTGAAATTCTGGCATGGTCAAGCTATAACTTTGTATTCCTGACCATGTTATTAGAACAATTAAGGCACAGTATAAAAAGGACTGACCTTGGCACATAATCATTTTGGGTTCTCAGTCCAGCTCTCATAGTCACTTGCATAATCTTGAACATGTTACTTTCTCTGGAAGGGTCTGAAGTTACGATTTACAAAGTTTCTTCCATCTCTGTGATTCTCAGTCCACATCAATTCTAAGACATAAGGAAATACACATGCATAGAAGTATGTGTCTTTCCATTCATTGTTCCTTAACAGCAATGAATTGCCCTTGGCAACTGGTACCTGTAAAATGACAAGTAGGTGTTCCAGTTGGTTTCAGATAAATAGCATTGAAAAGATGTTACTTTTTTTTGGGGTGGGAGACAGGGTCTTGGTCTGTCCTCCAGGCTAGAGTGCAGTGTTGCTATCTCAGCTCACTGCAACCCCCGCCTCCTGGGTTCAAGCGATTCTTAGCCTCCCTAGTAGCTGGGATTACAGGCATGCACCACACCCAGCTAATTTTCGTATTTTTAGTAGAGATGGGTTTTGCTATGTGGCCAGGCTTGGTCTGAAACTCCAGGCCTCAAGTGATCCATCCACCTCTGCCTCCCAAAGTGCTGGGATTATAGACATGAATCACCATGCCTGGCTTGAAAAGATGTTACATTCTTGTCTGCAGACTAGTCCTTTGAAATTATTTCAAGCTCTCAGACTATAAATAAAAGTCAATATGCAGGGCTAATTTTTGTCATATGAAATAACTGTTCTGTTTACAATATTTCAGGAGGTTGAAACGGAACAGTATTACAGTTTTTTTCTGGTAGAACTGAAAGAACGTGGCTATAATGGATTCTTTAGTCCTAAGTCTAGAGCTAGGACAATGTCAGAACAAGAGAGGAAACATGTTGATGGCTGTGCAATATTCTTCAAGACAGAAAAGTAAGTCATCTTGTTTTTAAAAAAGAAAATTTTCTCAGTATTTGCAGGGTGGGGGCCAAGGGTGTGGAAATTAATTGGCAAATGAGAGAATGAGGCACTATATTATTACTCAAGAAAATAATGCTATTTGACCTAGGGGATTTTTGTTTGTTTTTAGTCATCAAAAATAACCTTGTTTTGGAGACATGCTTAAAGTACTGCTGTTTCTTCAGGTGTTTACTAGGGTTTAACTCCAATTGTTAATTGAATCACCAAGTAGTTAAAATTCCCTCTAGGATGGTGCAGGGATTCTTAAATCCATACTTTAAAAAAGAATTGTTTAAAAATTACAAGGTAGAATATTTCAACATAAAACCTAAACAAGATGACTACATTTTTTTAAGTTGTAATTTTCAAATTGTTATTTGTATCAGTAACAGACTTAGTGCAACTTTAAATGGATGTGGAAAGCTTGGTGCTAAACGTGAAGGATTTTCCATAATGTGATTTAAGTGCCATCATATCTGTTAAGGAAGTTTGGGAAAACTACAGTTCCCACAAAGCTAACCTCTTGGTATTCCCAACTCTGTTTGTGTGTGTGTTTTGTTTTTGTTTTAGATTTACTTTGGTTCAGAAACACACTGTTGAATTTAATCAGCTAGCCATGGCAAATTCTGAAGGGTCTGAAGCTATGCTGAACAGAGTCATGACAAAAGATAACATTGGAGTTGCAGTACTGCTAGAACTTCGAAAGGAATTGATTGAAATGTCATGTGAGTGGCCTTTTCACTTCCTGTAAAATTGACCACCAAAATTTAATAGTTCTGACTAGACATCTTCAAAAGAATAGAAAACAGAAATTTCATTGTGTATTAAAGGTCTTGTCTAACACCTGAAGAAACTCAGTGAGAATTTGTCTTTTCTAAAATGTATCTCTTTTTCTCTGCCACAAAGCTTTTGAGAAAGCATTAGCCCATTAAAGTATTACAAAACTTGAAAAGCATTAAAAAACCTTTTTTTCTCTTAAGAATTTTTTATGTAAAAGAAATGTTGAAGTAAATATTAAAGTAACTGCTCAGGGGTAAGAAGTCTATACACTTTTATAATTTTTTGGCAGCAAGGATATTTCTGTAAGCTAACTTCTTTTCCTGATCTCTTTAAAATAATTGTTTTCAAGGTCTTGAGTTTTGGATAAATGGACCACTTCAAATTGAAAGTATATATAAGTGACCATTATGCCAAGAGCTGAAACTTTGTCACTTGAGCAGTTGGAATAGGGATATTTAATGTGAAGTATAGAAAAGATGGAAACAGGACTTAGAGTTGTCTTAAATTTAAGAAAGAGCATTTAGATTTAATTTTGTGAGGCTTGATTTCGGACATCCAAACTAAGACCAAAAGTTTGAAGGAGACAGAATTTTAAAACTTAAGCTGTCCCGAATAGGTGGGGTTATTTTTGTACAAGTAGTGAATGCCCTGTGCTGGAAGCATCAACCCAGTTTTAGATGTGTATTTCTTGGGTTTGTTGTGGGTCACATTTAGTCATCAGGGGGGAATTTTAGGTGACTTTTCTATTCTGGGACTCAGATTGCTTTCAGACACTGTAAGAATATCTGGGCTGATGGGCGGGTTTTGTCTGTTTCTTTGTTTTGTTTTTATCTAATATAGCTGGAAAGCCACATCTTGGAACAGAAAAACAACTTATTCTTGTGGCTAATGCTCACATGCATTGGGACCCTGAATACTCTGATGTGAAGTTGGTGCAGACTATGATGTTCCTCTCGGAAGTGAAGAACATTATTGATAAAGCCTCTCGTAACCTCAAATCCAGTGTATTGGGAGAATTTGGAACTATTCCACTTGTGTTATGTGCAGATCTTAATTCTTTGCCAGATTCTGGTAAGAAAATAATGTGTTTTATGTAGAATACTTTTGACGTAAAATGATTTAGTAATGTATTGTTTCTGATCATTCCAAATTAAGTCCAAATAAAAATTCCGTTTGTAATGGCAGCTATGAGCAGGTTTGTAATGTGTAGGGGTAGAGGAGCTGTTTTGAAGATGAAATGGTATTATGGAAAGGATGTAATCATCTTGAATAAACACATAATAAACACATAGGCAATAACTCGAAATGACTCTTTAAAGAACATATTTTATTATCCCCAAGTCAGAGATAATTATGGTTATTAAGACAGCCTCTTTGAGATTCCAGCATGTGGTAGTATAATCACAGTTTAAATTTGAGTTAAAATTACAGAATCTCAATTTTGCATATATTTGTAACTTGGCTAGAAAAATACACCTCAGGTGGAAATTGAGCTCCTTTATTTACACACATAACAGTCAAGTTTTTTTTTTTTTTTTTTTTTGAGATGGAGTCTTGCTCTGTCGCCAGGTGCCAGGCTGGAGTCAGTGGTGCAATCTCAGCTCACTGCAGCCTCCACCTCCTGGGTCCAAGCAATTCTACTGCCTCGGCCTCCTGAGTAGCTGGGACTATAGGCATGGGCCACCACACCCAGCTGATTTTTGTATTCTAGGAGAGATAGGATTTCACTATGTTGGCCAGGATGGTCTTGATTTCTTGACTTGTGATCGGCCCATCTCAGCCTCCCAAAGTGCTGGAATTACAGGTGTGAGCCACCGTGCTTGGCCAAAAGTCAAGCAAGGATCTTGACTTTTGTTAAAATGTAGAATACAGAAAGCTGGATCTGGAATGCTTTCCATATATAGTATACAATAAACAATAGCTCTTGTAATAAAAGCTATTTTTTCCCTTTTGTGTTTAAATTCATTTATACTCTTATACAAACAGGAATACTTTTCCTTGGACTTGAATGTATACATGAACACACACACACATGCACATTTGGAAGCACACGTTGACATCACAATAGATAGGACCATTAGGAAGAAAGAAACTGGCCGCATGCTGTGGCTACGCCTAGTAATCCCAGCACTTTGGGAAGCTGAGGCGGGCAGATCACTTGAGGCCAAGAGTTCAAGACCAGCCTGGCCAACATGGTGAAACCATGTCTCTACTGAAAATATAAAAAATTAGACATGGTGGTGCACACCTGTAATCCCAGCTTCTTGGGAGGGTGAGGCACAAGAATGACTTGAATCCTGGAAGCAAAAGTTTCAGTGAGCCAAGATTGAGCTACTGCATTCCAACCTGGTTGACAGAGTGAGGCTATCTCAAAAAGAAGGAGGAGGAGGAGAAGAAAGAAACTGAGTTAAAATTTGATTTCAGGGAAAATAAAGCTATCTAAAATCTTCTGTAATTCTTTATTCCAGCTCATCAAGTTAATCCGGTTATTACTACTACTACCACCAAAGCAGTTGAGTAGTAGTCTCTGGCAGTTTGTCTACATGCTTTCTACTTTCTTTGTAGCTACAAAGTATCTGAGGAATAAAGAGAAAATCTAGTCAAACATTAACATGCAAGACCCATTTCAGCATTGTGAAATACAGTATTATAATAGCAGGCAGGTCAGAAAATGTCCAGCCTTGCTAATTGGTGAATAAAATACAAATTAAAATATATTTGTAGAGCCCATCTTGTGCTTAGTAAATTGGGAAAATAATTCACTAGGGATGGGTAAGTTTGCTCTGTGACTAGTTGGTGGTATTCTCTTCCATAGTTGGCAGTATTATAAAGTGGCACATTCAGTCCTAATCTTGGGATTTTATACCAAGTAAATAATTGAGCATAAGCAGAAATCTACACACTAAGATGTTGATTGTGGTATTACCTTTAATTCTTTTTAAAAAGTGGAAACTACCCTGTATTTTACAAAATTAGTAGTAAATATTATCCACCAACCCAACTGCATTGTGCAGCCATTAAAGAATGATATTTGGGAAGACACATGTTTATAAAGCGAAGTGTAAACTGTTCAATATTCTGTGATTACAATTGTGTAAAAATAGATTTGGACAAGTCCTGGCAAATATAAAAAGTAATGTTTTGGAACCTGGGAATAGTGTGGTTTAAAACTTTTTACTATTACATGATCTTTTAAAATTACTTTTTGTTTATATTTGACAATAAAAAATTTGTCTTCATTGTAGGTGTTGTAGAATATTTGAGCACGGGTGGAGTAGAAACAAATCACAAAGACTTTAAGGAGCTGAGGTATAATGAAAGTCTCACAAACTTCAGCTGTCATGGGAAGAATGGAACCACCAATGGAAGGATCACTCATGGTTTCAAGTTAAAGAGTGCCTACGAGAGTGGTCTGATGCCTTACACGAATTACACATTTGATTTCAAGGTGTGTCTTGAGACTGATAAGTTTTTCAAATCTCTATTTTACTGGCAAGTTTTCTGATGCATTACTATGTTTTTAAAAATGTGGTTGTGTGTTCAGACTGGAATGAAGCAGTCTTGAATTCATTGACAACAATATTGTTTGTTTTATGTTTGAGACAAGGTCTCACTTTGTCAGCCAGGCTGGAGTGCAGTTGCATAATCACGGCATGAAGGCTGAAATGATCCCCTCACCTCGGCCTCCCTAGTAGCTGGGACTATAGGCACACACCACCACGCCTGGCTAATTCTTGTATTTTATGTAGAGATGGAGTCTCACTATGCCCAGGTTGGTCTTGAGCTCCTGGCCTTAAATGATTCTTCCACCTCAGCCTCCCAGAGTTCTGAGATTACAGGCGTGAACCACTGCACTCAGCCAGTAATATTTTTTTATTACTGTTTTTAGAATTTCATGTGATTAGTGTCACAACCTTACTTTGTAGATATTTATTCCAATATTTTCCAGGATAAGAAGTTAGATCAAATAATCTGTAAAATTCCTAAGCTGACTTTTCACCTTTTGGTGACAATTACATTTCTTATATTCTCATTATTAACAGCTAGATATGCTGAACCATGCTATCTAATTTGGGTGGCAGTTGGGGTAAGGTGTTCCTTTTCTTACATTGTAATTTAACTGAAACTAAATTATTTTGAATGTCAAAATGTGGTTATTAGCTGTTTTTAAATGTTTCTAAGATACATCTTTTTTTGCCCCCAGAGACAGTCTTGCTCTGTTGCCCAGCCTGGAGTTCAGTGGCACAATCTTGGCTCACTGCAACCTCCCCCTCCCATATTCCAGTGATTTCTCATGCCTCAGCCTCCTGAGTTGCTGGGATTATGTGTGCACCCCACCACACCCAGCTGATTTTTGTATTTTTAGTAGAGACAGAGTTTCATCATGTTGGGCAGGCTGGTGTCGAACTTCTGGCCTCAAGTGATTTACCCATCTTGGCCTCCCAAAGTGCTGGGATTATAGGCATGGGCCACTGCACCTTGCCAGACTCTAATCATTTTTTTTATTTAGTGCTATGTCACTTTCTTGTGTTTAACTATCCTTTTTTTTTTTGGCCGGAACGGGGGCTTCTCCATTGTTGCTGTAGATAGGTTTAACTGTCCTTTTTTAAAAAAAAGAGAAAAAGAGATGTCGTTTCAGTCTGTCATCCAGGCTGAAGTACAGTGACATGATCATAACACACTGCAGCCTTGAATTGGGCTGAGGCAATCCTCCTGCCTCAGCCTCCCCACTAACTAGGACTACAGGTGTGTGCCACTGTGCCCAGCTAATTTTTTTTTGTAATTTTGTTTTTTTTTAAGACAGGGTCCTCCTATATTATCCAGCCTGATCTCGAATCCCTGGCCTTAAGCAATCCTCCTGCCTTAGCCCTCCAAAGGAGGCTAAGATTATAGCCAGGAGCTGGGATTATAGGCAGGAGCTACTGCAACTGGCTCAACTGCCTTTTAAACTACTTTTTGCATTTCTGCTTTCTTAACTCCTAGCTTTCTATTTCTAAGCTGCTGGCAAAGTAATAATTTACATTAGATTGTCAGAGTGTAAATAAGAGTTTTTAGATAGTATCTCTGGAGCTCTTACACTTTAGAGTATAGTAAGTAAAGCCCCTGTTTATCCTCAAGTGCCCCTTCCTTTCAAATTCTTAAGGAGGCATTGAAGAGAAGGCATGGGTGATAGCCAAAGGGTGAGAAAGCTTAGGGTTTTTTTCTCTTTATGTTGCTGATGGAGGCACGAAGAAGACACTTAAATGTGCTTCAGAGTGCATTTGGGCAAGAGCATGTAGAGGAGAGGAGCAGAACCATCAGATGGGAACAGTTTGTTAGATGCCATGCTGGGGTGCTGCTGAGAGAGAAGGGACAGGTAGAGACAGCCCTGCCCTCATGTAGCTGAGATGTGATGAGAGAGACAAGTCTCAAAAATGACACCTTGAGATGGCCATTAGCAAGGGAAGTGAATCAATAGTGAGAAGTAGTAAGTAGGTGGGAGCAGGATTCAGGAAGGTCTTTGGAAAGCAGTTGAACCTGACACTGAAAGATTAAGAAGGAATTAACCTCATAGCAAGTGTTACAGGCAGACTGGAGAGTGACTGAGTGTGTGTGTGTGTGTGTATGTGTGTGTGTGTGTGTGTGTAAGTCCTGAGGCAGGAAAGAGCTTGGTACCTAATATTAAGAAGGAATTGATATCATAACAAGTGTTCCAGGCAGAATGGAGAGAGAGAGAGTGTGTGTGTGTATGTGTGAGTGAGTGAGTGAAGGTCGGGAGGCAGGAAAGAGCTTGGTACCCATAGTTTCCCCTCCCACCCTCACCCCTTTCTCACTCCAAAGGCTAGTGTGGCAGGGAAAGTGGCGCAAATTAGGTTAGGAAAGAGAAGCAGAGGCTACATCCTGAAGGGTCTTAGATCTTGTTAAAGATCCAGGTAGGGAGAATGCTTCATTCTGCTGGATTTGACATTTTGTGGGAGGAACCATTTGGTGTATGTAGTACAGATCTCATCCTACAAGCTAATAAGTTTCACTTGTTTAGTTCTGTTCACCAAACATGACTGTAAAGACATGTCTTGAAAGCACTCAGAATTTTCCTGTTGTCTTATGTGGTGCTTATATCTTTCTTTCTGTTGTTTTTCAGGGTATAATCGACTACATTTTCTATTCTCAACCTCAGCTGAACACCTTAGGCATTCTGGGCCCTCTGGACCACCACTGGCTGGTTGAGAATAACATCAGTGGCTGCCCACACCCCCTCATCCCCTCTGACCACTTCTCACTTTTTGCACAACTGGAGCTCTTACTGCCGTTCCTGCCCCAAGTCAATGGCATCCACCTTCCTGGCAGGAGGTAGTCAAGCACCTTCGGAGGACAGCCTCGATTCACTTGTAAACTTGGGAAAATCTGAACATAGGGGAGTGAGGTATGGCCACTGAGGGTTTTTGTTTGCTTAAGAATGATTTGAATTTTCAATCTGATTATTTGATAAGGATATAGTATGAAAGCCAGGTGCTAGCAACAGACAAATTCTGAGCCCAATATGCTTTATACTGCTAGACAGGGATTGGTGTGTTTGCACCTATCTTTAATTTGTTATAAGAAATTTTCCTATTTCCTCTATCCAATATAATATTTTCATGCCTTGAAATAGGAAAATGTTTGAAGAGCATATTCTCTTTGCACAGAAATCTGTAGCACTACTTTTTTGAGGCCAGTAGTAACATCCAGAGACCATTCTTCCATACTTTACTCCCTCCTTTTTCAGACTTGTTTGTAAAATATAGAATTTGAATTTAGCCTTTATGATTGTATATGATCCACAGAAGACCTGATTTATGAAATTTTGTACTAAAAAAAAAATCATTTGGAAATGATTGTATTGTAAACTAAGGCTAAATTTTTTTTTAAACCTGTTTCATGTGTTATAAAGGCCAGCTTGTAAAAGAAGCTGCAACAGACTTTCTCTGCTCATGATTTGCACTCTTAGGGTTTTGTTAGCCCTTTTGTACTACTTTATTTTTAAATTGAGAACATGGTTCTTTAAATATAAATCTGCTTAAACCTTAGGATGTTTTCAGACCCGAGGCAACTTATTCATGAATTTTTACGAAAACATCTACCAGGACAGATAAGCTGAACAGTGATGATCTGTAGGCATTTATGGACTGAATGTAATGGTTGATATATGTACATTCTGATATTTTTAAGTCTTTAACTTTTTTAAGTTAAAAAACTACAGCTGCTTAGGTACAGCTTAACTCCTTTTTGAGATACTTCCTGTCCTATCTCCACTGTGCCTGCCTAAATTTGTTCTCACCAAGCACTGCCTGTGCATGCAGAGAAAATCTGTGCATCCTCTTTTATATTTTTAAAATACTGTTTAACATTTGTGAGAATTTTATGAAAATGCTTTTGTATGAGCTGTGGCTTTTTTTCCATTATGAAGCATCAAATATCACATTTTGGAACATGTTTATAGGGTGGGTCCCTGGATCTTTGCTCACCAGATCCAAGCACTGCTTCTTGGTGTCATTGCAGTGTACTGCTTGTCACCCAGAGTACTACTATCATGTGAATTCTTTTTGTTGTCCGTGTATTCCTTAGTCTTTTTTTTTTAATCATTCCTTATTTAAGAAGAAGTAATTTTCCATTTATGAAGCAGTATAAATTAGATGCATTTTCAAAACAGGTCCCTAAGACAATTGTTCAGATCATTTTTAAAATGACTAAGTCATTTTAGTATGTCGACCAAGATAAAAGTTACATCACACCCTCTATTTTGCCCGTAGTGCTATTAGTAGAATAGAAATGAAAACCAGCTTTAACTTTGCAAAGTGAACGTGTACTACATGGTCTGTTCTCATTTATTCATTATTCTGTTAAAAGTCAAATGAATTGAGAGGGAGCTTGGTCAAACTGCTTTTGTTTCAATTGCAGGCAGGGGAGCAAAAGGACACCACGTGAGCATTAGGAAAAGAAATGTTGACTGTTATTAACAATTTTTATACAGAGAGTGAGTCATTTTGGATAATGACGTAAAATTTTATGAAAAATGTTCAGCACTTAAATGTGCTTATTCTGTTTTTAAGAGAAAATAAAATTACATACTGTTTAAATAAATGATTCTTTTTTTTTTTTTTTTTTCCTTTTAGAAAATTCTCCAAAGGGTTTTGATCTTGAATCTTTGTCTTGGACCTGTTTTTTCCTTTGAGGGTTTTTGTTGTTTTTTTTAAGATTTCATTGTGATGTTTTGGTTTTGTTTTTTTGCTTTTTGTTTAAGTTGTGCTGACACCAAACACATCCAGTTTATAATCAGTACATTGGAAAGCTGGGATTGATGTAGAACCAGTACATAACTTTTTATGGAGTTTTTGTCATTGGTTTTTTTTTTTTTTTTTGGTGAAGTGTGAATAAAAGGTATGTTTACTCATTTTTCCTAAACACTGTGTTGGTAATATGCATTATGACAATTTCCAGTGAAGGTGAGCTGGAGCTAGTTGGACTAATGAGACTGAGGAAGCAGTCTTTCCTACTATCTGCATTATGTAATCACAGGTCCAGAGAGCTTTATGGAAGGGGAAGGGGAGGAGCACTTACTTATTTTGTATTTGTTCATGGAGGACGTAATCTTTTCGTAGATGCTGGAACTAGAGTGCACTTGTTAGATGCTAAAGGTTTGAGCTTTACACAAAATGTATTCATCTGTATTTGTTATTGTCTATAATATATTTGAATTGGGGGCAGCATATTAAGATATAATGGCCTGTTATGTCTTGAAAATACTTGTTTTGCCTCTTCCAGGCATACTGCATTATGTGGATCAGTTTGAACAGCTTCTCCATCTTAATTTGGAGACTGATAAATTGAACCAAGAGTGTAGATTTACAATTTAACCTTCAAAAGAGGAAGAAATATTTGGGGTCTATAGGGAATAAACAGTCACACCAAAATAGACTATGATGCTTTTGTTAAGCAAGGTTTCATGTTTTAGGTATTTTCTGTGTCTTAAATAATTTCCGATAATCTATACTTTATAAAATGCAATAAAAACTAGTATGTTTTCACAGTGTAGATTCTTTTTCAAAAATTCTGTAACAAATATATTTAATGTGTTGCCATAATGTAATTTCAGTGTTTTTGCTGGATAAACCCATTTTAGAAATGTTTTACAAAAAGTTTGAGGCATGTTTTCTGTTTTAAAGATCAGGTTTTTGGAGGCACTCAAGTCCTTGTTGCAAATCTCTTGAAGTACAGCTTTACCATATTAGTGGTAATTATTTATACCTTGAGAATTTAAATATTGTTTGTCAAGTTAATTTATGGCATAATTTAAGCTAAAGTTGTATAAATGAATTGTTGAGTGCAACTTTAATAGTCCCAAAGATAGGCAAAGAACATCTCCAAAAATGTGTGTGTGTTTTTTTCTTTTGATTTAGTGACAACCAGGAAAACTTACTTGGGGTTATTAGCACTTTCAAACTTAAGGACATTATTAATTTGGATGGAATGCACTTCTAAATGTTTAAATTAAAATTTCAAAGCTCTTCTGAGATTCAGGTTCTCAATAATAACATTGAAGTTTTAGAGTTTCACTCTGTACAATTTAAATTTATGGAACTAGTTTCCATAGTGACTTCTTAGGTTTTGAGCTCATATAAGGACAGAAGTCAACCTAGGCAAAACAGTTAACAAATGTTGCAGATAATTCCAAGAACACCTTTAGCAGATGTTTCTTCACTATTCATAAACAGTATTTTAAGATGTTCACTTTGCTTTTCTTTTTGGTTACATACTTTTTAATAGCTGGTATGTTGAAGTAGTGTCTAAAAGTATCAGTCTTTATTCACAGTACATTATATTGTGTAATGCACTGGACTAACTCTTGTTTACCATTCATGTAACAAAACCCAGCACATTATCTGCACTATAAGCTCAAAGAATGTCACATTTGCCCAGGCAGCTCTTTGATAAGGGTGATGGGAAACTGAATATATATCATATGGACTGGTGGTAACAAGGGCTTTTACTGTTATTTTCAGTGGAACCTTCTCGGTCAAATTGTAACTAGCTAGTATTATATTTATATACAGGGTCTTTTTTCTTTACCGATGTATTTTCCTACTCATAGCCAACCAATAAATTCAGTATCTGTTTCAAATATTTTAGAAGTGTAATTTATATAGCTGTAGTACTGAGGTTTGAGGAAAAATAAATGTTAATCAGCAGACCACGTATTTAAAATTCTGAATCATCTGGGACAGGGTTGTAACTCACCCTTACAAAGGGAAGAGTACAGGGGAACAGGGCCATGATATGGGGAAATGGTGTAAACAAATGTATTTCTTTATTGGCTGTGTTATTCTGTATAACACTCATATCTTTGCCAAAGTTCAATTTTATATTTAGGCAACTGATGGTCCTTTTGCATTTAGGATTTTCATTGTTACCGTATACCTCATAATATAAGAAATGGGCTCATGTGTCTTCCATCTTTTGGAAGGAGGTTGACATATTTTAAATAAATGCTTTTAAATACAGTAGCAAACGTTGTGTTGGGGTTATAATAATTCATTAAGTGTTTTACTTGTTGCATGTATTTTGTTGTATATGTGAACCTTAAAAACGCTTGACTTCCTGAGTCTTCAAGATGTCAGCTTACAATTGAGAAAACAACATGAGTTCCTTTACTTTTAGAAACTACTTCTACAAGGTAAATTTTTATGTAGATGCGGGAAAAATCATTTAAAATCCGGACAGTTTAGATTAAATGAATATTTGCTTTGATCTCCGATTTTTAAAGTAGGCATGTTCTACTTAATTCTTAGTACAGTGATGCACGTTAGGGGGATATATTCTGAGAAATGCATCCTTAGGTGATTTTGCCATTGTTTCTACATCAGAGTGTATTTACACAAACATGGGTGGTGTAGCCTCTTACACATCTAGGCTATGTGGCTTAGCCTATTGCTTCTAGGCTAGAAACCTGTACAGCATGTTACTGTACTGAATACTGTAGGCAGTTGTAAGACAATCGTAAATATTTGTGTATCTAAACATGGAAAAAAGTAAAAATACAGTATAAAAAAATGGTATGTCTGAGACTGGGGGCAGTGCCTCATGCCGGTAATCTCATTTTGGGAGACCGAGGTGGGCAGATCACTTGAGGCCAAGAGTTTGTGACCAGACTGGGCAACATGGTGAAACCCATCTCTATAAAAAATACAAAAATCAGCTGAGTATGGTGGTTCCAGCTACTTAAGAGGCCGAGGTGGGAGAATTGCTTGAGCCCAGTAGGTGGAGGCATCAGTGAGGAGATTGTGCCACTACATTCTAGCCTCGGTTACAAAGTGAGACTGTCTCCAAAAAAAAAAAAAGGTACATCTGAATAGGCAGTTCTATTGTATCTTATGGCCTATTCTCATATATGTGGTCCATCTTTGATTAAAATGTCATGCACAGTGTATGACGGTATGTAGTTTTAACCCATTAAGTTTTGTTCCTCATATAATTGCCAAAAAATAAGTAAAAAAGAGTTAATAGGTTGGATGCAGTGGCCCATGCCTGTAATCCCAGCACTTTGGAGGGCTGAGGTGGGCAGATCAGTTGAGCCCAGGGGTTCAAGACCAGCCTGGGCAATATGGTAAAATCTCACCTCTACAAAAAGTAGAAAAATTGCTGGGCATGGTGGCACATGACTATGGTTCCAGCCACTCGGGAGGCTGAGATGGGAGGATCACTTGAGTCTGGGAGGCTAAGGTTGGAGTGAGCTGAGATTGCACCACTGCAGTCCAACTTAGGTGATGGAGCAGGATCCTGTCTTAAAAAACCCAAAAAAGTTACTGAAGTATGTGCCATGTTACTTTATAAATACAGTTAATGTTCTTCAAAGGAACAAGTACCTAAATAAACATGAATTGAAATATATTTAGAATAAAGTTTTTAGGTTTTAGATAACCTATATACCAAGAGTTCCCTTTTTAGACTGTTATTTAGGTATTCAAATTGATTTTACAATAAGCTTTTACAAGTATTAATTATAAAGATAATTTTAACGTAATGAGTGGTTTTCTATTAGAAGAAACTTGTAGAAGATAGTTTTCTACTAGAATGTTAGGAGAATTTGAGAAATATTTTTGTAAGTAAATTTCCCTTGAGTAATATTTTAAATAGATTGTTACATAAATGAGTCTAACAAACGAGTCTATAGCTAGGGGTTGGGAGGACTGCTGGATTGCAAAGTAATTTGAAAACCAGTTTTTACAGTTTCAGCACATTTAACGTTTTTAATCAGATAAATAAGGAGATGTCAGTTTTCTCAGTTTTTTTGAATCACAAACTTTAAATCACTCTACCCAAAAGCTATTACATGAGTTTGGGCCTGTTACAGGAAACTTTGCTTGCTCTATCAGTACAACCTGAGGCAGGCTTCAAGAGCTTTAATTGCTGGATACCTTCCAGCTTACCAGCAAAGTGAATCTGAGCTGCTGGGCTTATAGAGCTACCCACTAGTAAGTTGCTTAAGTTTACTTAAAATTGAGAGGTTTACAATTGTTGTACTCTGTGCTTAGATTGTAAATAGAGATTTACAGGCATAATCCTTGACTTCCAGTTGTTCGTTGACCATAAATCTAGTGCAGTGGGTGCTGAAGATGTAATAGGTGTGGAAGAAGAAACTTGTCCACTGGAAAGGTTGCTGTAGCAGGGCTGTGCAGGATGCATGAAAAGGGTAAGACGAATACTTGGTGTCAGGCTAGTTAGCTGGCTTCTGGTGTGGTCCAGTTGACAGCTAAGCTGAGGAGGGCTTGCGGAGCAGTAAGCCTCGAAAGGGAAGGGAATCTGAAATGTTTAGGAAAGGGAAGTAATAGTCTCAATTTCTGCCTCATGTGTGGATGAAAAGACAGATAAATGAGTTTTGTCCAGTCACTGTTTTATGTAAACCCTGACCCAAAATCTGTATCTGCCACCAAAGTCCCCATTTTTTCTTTACCCATCTGACAAAAGTATTTAGTCGAAGAATCTGGTTTCTCAAGCTGGATTTTACTTCATTCCCCATTATCATTCATTCAGATTTTAGTCTGCAAGAGAAAGCCAGTGTGCCCCTACTAAATGGCTTAGTAATTCCAGAAAATGATAAAAGGTAGCATTTGATGCTACATTAATTCTTTTAGCCTATTTCCCTTTGGCTTTTTGAATTAATAAAATAGTTTAAATGTAAAAAGACTGCCTTTCTGAAATTGCTGGTAAGACCAAGCATTCAAAGATAGATAAATAGAGCAACATATTTATCAATGAAGAGAGGGATCCAAGAATTCTCAGCTCTGTGAAGCTCCCCTCATGCAACAACTCTGTTGTTCAGTATGGTGGCTTTTAGCCATGTGTGGCTTTTGAGCATTTGAAATGTGACTCTTGTGACTGGTACTGTAAATTTTATTTTTTGTTAAGCAAAAGTTTATTTTTATAGGATCACATTTAATTGTTGCATTGTGTAAGATAGAGAACTGCTACATTGCTTGTTTGTATTCTACATAAACACATTGCCAGATGATTATCAAAGAATTCATTCTAACAGCATTTTACTACTAACCAAAGTAACATAATGTGTTTATTGAATGTTCTATGCAGACAGAGTTACTGCATAGAACTATGTAAGTCCTAATTAGCAAAGTGAGACGAATGTTCATATTTTTCTAGTTTAAAAAATATAGACAACTTAACTAATTTAAAATCAATTCTGATACAGAACTGAGTGGAAATGCAGGGCTAATTCCAGCTACCGTACTAGGTCTGTCACAAGCTAGCTGTATCACAAATTTCAGGATGAATGACAGCTGCAGTTTGCCTTACCACAGCAAAGAAAAAAAATCTTTTTGTACTAAAAAAAATACATATTGAATTTAATGATTCCCCTTGATGGATAAAAATAAATGAATTTAATCACTGAAATGTCCAACAGAAAGAAAGACAATTTTAGGATTCAAGCATATAGATTTGGCCAGTTACGTTATAAAAGGGCTTCCCTTCTTCCACGGGGATGTGAAAAGGGGTACCCCCCGCCTTTTTTTTTTTTTTTGAGACATAGTCTTACTCTGTCGCCCAGGCTGGAGTGCAGTGGCGCGATCTCGGCTCACTGTAATTCAACTTTCCCAATTCAGTGGGAATTGGCCACTGGTCTTGAACTCCTCCTCCTGTGTTCAAGCGGTTCTCTGGCCTCAGCCTCCCGAGTAGCTGGGACTACTGGCACGTGCTACCATGCCCAGCTAATTTTTGTATTTTTAGTGGAGACGGGGTTTCACCGTGTTAGGATGGTTTTGATCTCCTGACCTTGTGATCCGTCCACCTCGGTCTCCCAAAGTGCTGAGATTACAGGTGTGAGCCACTGCATCCAGACTTTTTTTTTTTTTTTTTGAGACAAGAGTCTCACTCTGTTGCCCAGCCTGGAGTGCAGTGGCACTCGGCTCACTGCAACCTCCGCCTCCTGGGTTCAAGCCATTCCCCTGCCTCAGTCTCCTGAGTAGCTGGAACTACAGGCACACACCACCACACCCGGCTAGTTTTTGTATTTTTAGTAGAGATGGGGTTTCACTGTGTTGGCCAGGGTGGTCTCTCTCTCTTGACCTTGTGATCTGCCCACTTCAGCCTCCCAAAGTGCTGGGATTACAGGCATGAGCCACTGAGCCTTGCCAAGTACTTGTTTACTTTAGATGAGTGTACAGCATAAAACACACTGCCCAGTTAATACTTTTCGAATAATTTCTTAAAAGATTTCCAAATTTACACAGAAATGTACATTCTTAGCCTGAAAAAAATCACACTTGTGGCATAGATATTTTTGCATCTTTTCCACTTGCCAAGGAACTTCAGCTAGATATGACAAAAAGTTTTTCACTACTGTTAGTGCTCCAGCTGTGGGAGGTCAAAAATCTGAGATGGAGTCCCTTTGTATTGCACCATATGGTGCTTATTAAAAACAGTCGTGTTCAGTTTTCAAAAGATGTCATGGACACAGTTGTTAAAAATTGTCCAGTTATAGGTTCAGGTCAACCAATTACCACCAGTTTGTGAACCATTCAAAGAAATAGAAGACAAAGATCTTGTAGTCTTAACTAATGATTATTTGCTGAATTGCGAAGGAGTTTTAATGATTCATTCTGTTGATTCTA